CTGAAGATGCCTGAGCTGTGTGAGAGCTTTGAGAGTTGGATGGAGAGTTCTTGACCAAGGAAGAGCTCTTTGGTCCCAGCCCCCTGGGGAGAGGTTAGGATTGCTGAAGGGAGAGAGGATTCTTTGAGTGATCTCATGGGTCTAGGAAGGGAGCTGACAGGTTTTGGGTTCCTTTGCCGTGCTCTGCCCAGGCTGTGACAGTGCTGGGGTTCGATTTTGAGTCACTCGGAAGACAAAATGAGACAAAGGGTTTTTTGTGCAGCCTGAAGCCCTGCAACTCTGCTGTAGGGGCTGCAGCCCAGGGTAGGTGCCCTGTCTCCACAACTGCTGACCACGCTCTTCCCTTCTCCACAGTGTCCACAGGCCAGCCCCTGAAGCCCCAGTCATCAAGACCCCGTACATCATGTCCAACGCCATCTGTCTGCGCTGCCCATGGCTGTGATGGGTGCCGCTACCTCCTGTCCCCTCCAACTGCCAGGCATGCAAGCTTCCTCCTGCTCCACCAGCTCTCCCACTGGCTCTGACACCTTTGTCACCTCCCATGTCGTGTGGTGGAAATGCATGGTGCTGGGGCAGGCCCAAACTCCCACCCTGACAGCAGGCACATTTCCAAAAGCTCTGTTCACTTCCTCATCCTGCTGGCTCGTGAGAAGATCCTGTTGTCAGCTCTGCCCACCAGCACAGCAGAGGTGGGATTGTTACGGGCAGCCTGGAAAACAGCAGGGGAATAACCATTTCCCCCTTTGGATGTTATTTGTTGAGAAATGCTGTCTGGGAAGTGTTGAGTCAGGGCCTGAACCACTGATGGAGCATCTGGGGAAAGGACCCAGTCAGCCCTGGGAGCATAGGTGAGGGCAGTTCAGTTGTATGATGGAATGAGGGGAGCCTGGCTGCACCTCTCCTAGACCTCATTGAAGGGCTGACTCTGCATGGGCAAGGATCTCTGGTTGGAGATCCCTCCCTTGTGGAGTTTTCCCTGTGAGCCTGGATCTTCAGAAACAGGTGAGCACTTTCCTTTGTCTTTGTAACACCCTTCTGTTGTGCCAGTCCCTTTGTGGTTACACCTCCTTCCACTGCACTGATCATTCTGATTGTTACAGATGTCCTCTGCCCCTTCCCACCTGTAAAGCAAACTTGCTTGTACAGCAAGCCACCTGTAGAGGTGATGACAGAGCCTTTATTTGAGATATAGGAGATATAGAACAAGATATCAAAGCAAGAGGAATCGACTCATCCCTCCCAGCTACAGTTTGGCAGAAAGTGGTGAGCTGAGGAATGCAGCCTTCTGTGTTTGAACTACGGTGTGCTGAAAGGTGAGAGGGGGCTGAGGGGTCGGGGGGGAGACCTGTGCAGACTGACTGTATGTGTGCTGCTAGGAGCACTGCTGAGATGGAGAGAGAGGAAGGCTCCCCCGCTCGAGGTACTCATGTGCTCACGCAGTGGTTCAGGCTGTGACCTGGCAATTCCACTGCACCACCCTTCCTGCGCTGTCCATGTGCCACCTGCAGGTGTTGCCCAGCTTTTGTGGGACTCGCTGTGACCTCCCTGTCTCACCTCTGTCTCACCTAGTCTAACCCTTAGAGCAGCATAGAGTGACCCGTGCTACCTGGGGATAAGTCTTTTTTTCTGCTTTCTATCCCAAGTCCTTTCCTTTCCACGGAAACAGTAGAAGTGTTCCTTCAGAGCTGATTTACCCCTGCTGTGTTTCTTTTCACTTTTTGTGGATGAGCAAGTGCCCCTTTAGGGATGAGCATCTCTTTGCTCCTTCCATTCTACAGCTTATAGCAGGGTGCCCAGGGCACCCCACAGTTGTGGGGAGCAGCTGGCACAAGAGAAGTAAGTCCAAAGGCTGCAGCAAAGATTTTGGGTCATTTGCAGTGGCTCAGTGGGAGCTTGCAGAGGCAAAAAGCAGCTGGAGATGTGCTCTGCAGTTCTGTGCTGGTTTGCAGATTCCTCAGGAGTGGTCCTGGGTCACCTGGCTTCCACCAAGAGTGCTCCTCTTCTCTCCACAGATCACATCCCAGGTGCTGTCTGTCTGTGGTAGGTACCAGAGCAAGGAGGCCTCTCTGTGCCATTGTTGCAGTGATTTCAGTCTGTGGCACCCACATTTGGACGCATGGATGCTCCATCTGGATGTTAATTTTCAGGGGGATCAAAGCTTTTTGGAATATGGGCTTCTCTTTCCGTATTATATGCATTTTGTGCAGTTGAGTCTTGCAGTATCTTTATAATTCACCCTTCTGCCATAAGGTGGGATGGTGTAATGTCCTGTTCTTCAGACGAACCGAGAGTGCTGACCAGATGGTGAATGAGACAAGGGATTCACTGCTTCTGACTGATAAGAATCCTGGGCATCAGTTAGTAGGCCAGTATTTTCTGAGATAGAATTTATTATCATGCATTTGGTAATGTTTCTGTTAACATCAGAACACTCTGGGTGTGTTTTCAAACCAGGGTTTCCAGTCCTGCTAACAAACAGTGGGGTTTGTGCACGTACCTCCATGGGCTCACATGGAAACAGACGTCAAGCATCAGAAGATTCCTGGGTGCGTGTTTAAGGCTTACTGCGTTCTCTAAAGACTGAAATAGAATTTTCCCGATGCTGTAAGTTCTGATCTTATGGAATGTACGTACTGGGAGAAATTGCTCCTGGTGGCTGAAATAAATGCTGGGGTTCTTCAGTGCAGAGCTGTCACGGTTCTGGTCTGCCTGGTGCTACAGCGGAAGAGCCTGGGCTATTCTGGGAGAGAACCATGTTCATTGTACTTAAGCAGGAGAATGTCCCTGCACTGTTATTCAGAAGATAAGCTGTTCTAATCAACCTTACCTCGGGACCTTGTTTCTCAAATACAAGCAAGACAGGACTGTGCATGCGTGTGCATTGCATATAATGCTGGTGTTTGGTTTTCATGAGGTTCACAGATTGGTGCCTGCTTGCTCTGAAGTTGGCTCTTGGAATGCAGTGATTCAGTGTCTCACTGACAGTGTGACAAGTAGGACTTGATTCCTGCAGGTTTGTTTCCTTGCCTAGCTTTATTTCCACTGCTGCGTAACAGTCTCTGCAAGAGCTGCTTATAAAAGGAATGAAGTGCACATTTTGCTGCAAAATTAGCACAGACTTTTGCCCATTTCCTTGGAAAAGTGAACCTATCGTGCCTTGTTGTTATCAAGGGATTTGTTTGCTGGAGGCAAGCTGAGGAATGGTGCCTGGGGCCTGTGGGCACAAATAGATCCCAGTTTCCTGTTCAGGCAGCAGCCTTTAAATGTTGCATTAGCAATATTAGTAAGGCCAGACAGATCCAGGGATGTCTGTGCTCGAGGCTTGAAGTAAGGCTGGAGAAAAGCAAAACAGTTGACTTAAAACATGTGTGCTTAGAAGCTGGGAAGTGATGAGAAGTGTCTTCCTCTGTCCTCACGGCAGTTCTGCTGAGTAATAATCACTTGGCAAACTGCAGCAGCGTGGCAGGGGAGCTCAGGGTTGCAATTTAGGAAGAGGATATTGAGGGAGGCTAAAGGCTTTGCTAATGCTTGGCTGGATGTAAGAAATGTTCTGTGTTAAGAACGTGTTTTCTATGTCAGCGGTCCACAGCATCTGAGGTACTTAACTCAGTGCAAATGAGAAAAGCTGATGCTTTTTGTCTACTTGGTAGTGGAACAAGGAAAATTGAGGAAGGTTTTTGGAACAACTTTATTCTTCCCTTCTTTCCTGGAAAAAAAAAAAAAAAAAATTCAGGTGGCCTGGGCTCTCTGTCATTTATTCTTTCTGAGCCCTTGGAGCTGGATTTCTGTTCTTGGCTTTTCATAGGAGACTGGGCCAACAGAAAACAGCTGATCCAGGAGCTCAGCTGGATCCAGGCTGACCTGCTGTTTAGTAAGTCCCCTCCAAGCTCAGTTAAAAACTTCAGTTTTCTTCTCTAAGTTATGTTTGTCTGAGTTAAGCAAGCACTGAAGCAAATCTGTTTACCTCTGTTTTTCTTTCTATGCTGCTCTTTCACTTCTGGACCTCCTGTAAGAATGACCACATGCTTTGCTTTTCACTGATTCTGGGGTATCACAGTGAACTTCCTCAATCACATATCTCGTTGTGAGCCATAGTTAAGGATGGAGGCGCTTTTCCTCCCTGCATATCTGCTGCTTTCCTGGCTTTCAGTAGAAACCCCCTTGTGAGCAGTGTAATGGCTCAACCCTTCCTGCTGAGCAGCACGGTGGGTTGTGGCTGAGTGCTGACACCGTGACTGTGCAGGGTGGGCTGGTGCAGCACACAGCTGTGATGGCTCTGTTCCTTCACTGATCCAGTCCTTGTTCAGCTTAGTTGCATTTTTTTGGTGGGTTTTGTTGTTGTTCTGTAACAGTAACATGATGTGCAAATGTAACGAGCTGAAACAGGGAAGAGAAGAGCAAACCAAAACTGCTCTTGGTTGTGTCCAATGTGTAATTAAATGAGTACCTCTGTATATTTTTAAGAGGTTTAAAGTGGTCTCTGGATTACTGCTCATCTCATTTCACACTGCCCTGCAGTGTTTTCACTTTCGGTGCCCTTTGGCTCTGGTTCTTAACTCTATTATATAGGCTCCACTTCAGATCTTCTTTCAAGGCCCTGTGCCTGAACTGTTGCCTGGTGCAGAATCTCTTGAGTGCTTTTAGCACTGAGTGCACAACATCCCCAGGTTCCTGCTCACCGCTGCAGTACCGTCCTCAGGGAATTCCAGAAGCTTTGCTCAGTGTGGCCTCTTCTGCCTTCCAGCATCACGGCCTCAAGCAAGCAGCTTTCTGCATTTTCATAGCATACTTTCTCTCCACAGTTGATTTTCAGCATTCTGGCTGATAGAGTTACCACTCTTCTCTTGACCTGTTTCATAGCGATATTAAAATGAACGCTTTTCTAACACAGTTCACCAAAGATGAAGTCTGTATTGTAGGAGTCTGAGCATGGGATCATTTGTGTGACGTGTTGTAGTTGTGATGGACTAAGAGCTAAGATGTTTTTAAAGACATAGGAGCTTTTGTGTATAAGAGTTTGGTATGAATAATAAAGTTTCTGGGTTTTTACTCGGGGGGATGCAAGTTTGTGGCACTCTTTCATTTTATTTTGGATGGTATTTGTCTGAAAACTGTGATATGCTCATTTCTGGTTTGCAGATAAGGCATTTTTAGAGCAAGCTGATAATCACAGAATCACAGAATCACCCGGGTTGGAAGGGACCCCAAGGATCATGTAGTTCCAACCCCCCTGCCTAGCAGGGCCACCAAACATACACATTCAGATCAGGTTGCCCAGGACCCCGTCCAACCTGGCCTTAAACACGTCCAAGGACAGGGCATCCACAACCTTCCTGGGCAGCCCGTTCCAGGGCCTAACCACTCTCCTAGTAAAGAACTTCCCCCTAACATCCAACCTAAATCTTCCCTCCTTCAACTTGGATCCATTTCCCCTAGTCCTGCTGTTATCAGCCCTTTTGAAGAGTTTACTCCCCTCCTGGGTGTAGGTTCCCTTCAGGTATTGATAGGCTGCAATGAGGTCACCCTGCAGCCTTCTCTTCTCCAGGCTGAACAAGCCCAACTCCCTCAGCCTGTCCTCATAGGGGAGGTGCTCCAGCCCCCTGATCATCTTAGTCGCCCTCCTCTGGACCCTTTCCAAAATCTCAATGTCTTTCTTGTACTGAGGGCTCCACACCTGGACACAGTACTCCAGATGGGGCCTCACAAGAACTGAGTAGAGAGGGACAATCACCTCCCTGTCCCTGCTGGCCACCCCTCTCCTGATGGAGCCCAGGATCCCATTTGCCTTTCGAGCTGCCAGAGCGCACTGCTGGCTCATGTTCAGTCTCTCGTCCATCAGGACCCCCAGGTCCTTCTCTGCCGAGCTGCTCTCAAGGACCGCTCCTCCCAGCCTGTACAGGTGCCTGGGGTTCTTCCGGCCCAAATGCAAAACCTTGCACTTTGCCGTGTTGAACCTCATCAGGTTCACCCGAGCCCAGCCCTCCAGCCTGTCGAGGTCCCTCTGAATGGCATCCCTTCCTTCCACCGTATCAACCGCACCACTCAGCTTGGTGTCGTCAGCAAACTTGCTGAGGGTGCACTCAATTCCCTCATCGATGTCATTAATAAAGATGTTAAAGAGCACCGGTCCCAAGACAGACCCTTGGGGGACACCACTTGTTACCGGCCTCCACTTGGACATAGAGCCATTGACCACCACCCTCTGTCTGCGGCCTTTCAACCAATTGCTTATCCATCGGGTCGTCCACCCATCAAATCCACTTCCCTCCAATTTGGAGATGAGGATGTGGTGGGGGACCATGTCAAAGGCCTTGCTCAGGTCCAGGTAAATGACATCGGTCGCCTTCCCTTCGTCCACCAATGCCGTCACTCCATCATAGAAGGCCACAAGATTAGTTAGGCATGACCTTCCTTTGGTGAAGCCGTGCTGGCTGTCTCGGATCACATGCTCATTCTTTATGTGACCGAGCATGTCGTCCAGGAGGATCTGTTCCATGATCTTCCCAGGCACGGAGGTGAGACTCACTGGCCTGTAGTTCCCCAGGTCCTCCCTGCTCCCCTTCTTGTATATGGGAGTGACATGACCCTTCCTCCAGTCGTTCGGGACCTCACCTGACAGCCACGACTTCTCAAATATGATGGAGAGCGGCTCGGCAACCACCTCAGCCAGCTCCTTCAGGACCCTGGGATGCACGCCATCCGGCCCCATAGACTTGTATTCATTCAGTCTAAGGAGGCACTCTCGGACTTGCTCTGCCCTTACAGTGGGGAGGGATTTACCTCCTTGGTCCCCACATAGAGGTTTGGGGATGCAGGGTTCAGGGACGTGAAAAAGACTAGAATCCTGGCCACCAGTGAAGACCGAGGTGAAGAACTCATTCAGCACCTCAGCTTTCTCTTCATCTGTTGAAGCCAGTTCTCCTTTTAAATTTACCAAAGTAGGTACGCCCGTTTTGGCCTGTCTCTTCTGGGCAATGTACCTGTAGAAGGTTTTCTTATTGTTTTTCACGTCCCTTGCCAAGTTCAGTTCTGCCTGCGCCTTGGCTTCCCTGATCCCACGTCTGCAAGTCCGGACGGCATTCCTGTACTCTTCCCAGGTGACACAGCCTTGTTTCCAGAGCTTGTACACCCCTTTCTTCGCCCTCAGTTCTCTCAGCAGGTCCTTGCTGAGCCAAGCCGGTTTCCTACCTCGCCTGCCCACTTTCTTATTCAGAGGAATGGAGACCTCTTGTGCTTCCAGGAGGGCATCTTTGAAGAGCCGCCAGCTCTCCTCAACATCCTTGTCTTTGAGGGCAGCGCGCCAGGGGATCTTGGCCAGCAATCCATTGAGTAGCTTGAAGTCTGCTCTTCTGAAGTTCAGTGTCCTGGTCCTGCTCTTTGCCAGGCCCACATCGCTTGAGATCACAAACTCAACCAGGGCGTGGTCGCTGGAGCCCAGGCAGCCTCCAACCTTGACGCCTTTGATGATCTCAATGCACCAAATAATGCACCAAAGTCTCTGAAACCCTAAAGTTGTGGTTAGCATAAAGTTTAGGAAACTAGGTCACCATTACCTCACTGTTCTGTTGTGGTTTTTTAAATTATTTTCTAAATTTTAAATCCTGTCACGTCTCCTGTAGTTGCCACTGTTGCTGTTTCACCAGTAGAACCCTGGTGAAGATGGACGGAATTCCAAGCTGGCAGCTTGAGGAAGCCTGAGCCTGAAGGCCTGAAGCTTCAGAGAGGTGACTTCACTGCATGAAGGCGGGAGAGAAACAGCTGCACAGTATGATTTGGGAAGAGAATGTCTGAGTGCAGACTCGTCTCTAACACTGCAACAATAGGTTAGATTTGGGATCAGAGTGTTTTGCAGAGCTCCTGGTAGGAGTTGCTCTCTGGATCCACAGCTCTGCAGTTATTTGCCTTCTGAGATACACATTTATTTGGATTAATTTCACAGGGAGCCTAGACAGTGCCAGCTAAGTCTTGGCTAGCTGACTGTTGGATGTGTAAAACTACATGGCATAAATTTGCCCTCACAGCTGTAAGTAGTGAGGTGAGAGTTAAACTCACCATGGGGAAAAGCAAAGATGGGAACGCATGCCCAAAACCAGTCTGGAATTTGAGTGTGGTGAGCACATCCCTCATGCTGGTAACTCTAAACACAGTGGTTGCTTTGATTTACTATTTGTTTGTCACAGTAATGATCCTTGTAGGATCAGTGATGATCCAGGACGCTGCCTGCTCTGCACAATATGAGGAGTTGGACTCCATGCGCACAACCAGGTGGTTGCATCCAAGATGGAGTTGGGGGTTAAAATGATGCTGTTCTGTGTTGTCTGAGATAGCAAAGAAAATGCAGTAAGTAATAGCCTGCTTGCTGGAGCAACGTGCTGCAAGGCACAGACACATGGCTGGTGCTGGGTATGTGTGCAAGCTTGAGAGAGAGCAGTGGTGCTGGAGTTGTGGGAGTGGGTGTCTCATCAAACTTGCACAGCAGTTGCCTGGTAGATGATATTTTTTTATTCCTTCTGGTATTACTTTGGTACACAGAACTTCCAGCCAGAATCAGAGCTCTGAAAATTCTTTTTTGAACTCTGTTAATACAAAACTCTCTCACTTCTCTGCTTTCTTAACTGGTATGACAGACAAAACTAACCAACCCCTCTGAAGCCCTAACGCTCCTTTTGCAGCTACTTCAGACCTCTGCCATCTCCCATTGCTTGTTTCTGTTTTGGTGATTTGGTCTGTGGACTTCAACGAGCTTTCAGTGATGCTGTTGTTGCTGTTGTTTTTAAAGAGGGAATGCTCAAAGGGTTCCGCTTGCATTGTGATCAGGAACAGGCCAGGGGTGTTCCTCGTTCTCACTTGGCCCCAAGTGTGAGGTGAGCTGCTTTCTGCAGGAGCTGACTGGCATCACACCCAGTTGCCTTTGGTTCCCACTTACTTGTCTTATGACTGATTCAGAAAGAAAAATTGGAGTGGTGGGGCTGGTCATGTATTGACAGTGCACCAAATAACAGAAGAGAGAAATGGGCAGGGTGCTGCAGGTGCAAACTTCTCTTCCTGCCATTGCACGTTTTTGTTATTCTGGATAAGGCAGAGCACCCCAGCCTCATCTGGGGTCTGCAGGCACAGCTCTCATGGAAGAGGTAGCAGAAGGGCTGTTGGAACAGTGACTGTGGTGTTTTAAAGTAGCAGCTGAGCACAAATGTTTGCTGTTGAGCTTCTTGGGAGAAGGGGCACAGGCTGATACAGCTCCCACAGTGCTTCTGTTGTGAATGCTGAAACCTCAGGCCTCCTGTATTGACTGCAGATTTTCACTTTACTGGGGTATTTGCAATGCATGATGCATCACCTCCAATTCCTCCCCCAAATGACGACAAAGCTTTGCTCTCACAAAGCAGCTGGTTTCAGCCCCACGGGCTGCCTGCAGCCTCCGATCTGCAGCAAACATTCTGCTGCCGGAGAACACTGCAGAGCCAGCTCTGCTCATTGCAGCAGACAGAAAAACATCTCCGTACTCTTGCACTGCTTTCAGAAATGTTAGCTAGGCTAACTACTTTTTGTAGACAGGAATTGGCTTATCCAATGGTGAGTCATCACCTGTGACTGTTTCAAATAAAGATCTTTTAAATCTGTTTTGCAAACTGACAATAAAATCCTATTTGAGCTTTTGTACACTGGAATGGCTGCTTGTGCTCTGCCCGCCCAGTCCTGCAAACTGCACCTACACCCACCGCCTCATCCACTTACCTTACCATCATAGCAACATTGTTCAATGCTCAACCTTTCTTCCTGGAGTCAGAAAGGTACTTAAGCACGTTCATTAAGCATGAGCTTAATGAGACTGTGATTTACTTTGTGTTCTCCTTGGTGCTAGGGCATCAGTAAGCAGAGCATCGTGCAAACAAGTCCCCTGCAGTTCGAACAGGATGGCGCCCACAGCAGCTTTGTCTCCTGGAGGCAGGGACAGATGCATCCAGGTGTGAGGTAGGGGAGGGGTGGAACAAGGGGCGGGGGGGAGGGAGACGAGGAGGAGGACTGGGACAAACGTGCCATTCATCTTGCACACCTTCCATTATTCGTGAAAGGCTGCAAACTAGAGAGAAGCTGCAGATACACAGTTATCAGTTCGCTCTCACGAAACACTCCTCCATCTTCCGTTACTCTGTCTCACTTCCAAGGCCACAGCGTCCACAGCCCACAGGATCGGGACATCAGGGCCCTAAATATTCTGAGTGTTTATTCAGTGCAGAAATAGAAATGATAGCTGCTGTAGGTTAGCAGTGTGTGCTGCCCTAGGCAGTAATAAGTCTCTAGAGAAATCAAGACACAACGGCTATTGCTTCACAATCACCTGGAAAGCATAAAATCTGGTAATTCACCAAGTGCAGCACAGTGCGTTAAACAGAGAAGTGCAGGAGTGGGAAACAGTTCTGGGCTGATCCAGCTCTGGGGAGGAGGGCATCACTTGAACGTAACAGCAACAAACAAGCAAACAAAAGAATAAAATAGAAAAATTTGCCTTGCTTGCAAACAGAGCAGAGCAGAGTGATGGAGAATTTTCTTTTCACACAAGATCAATGGACGAGCAAGAGACGAATAAGAGGCAGCTGCCTGAGTGACAGCTGGGCACAGACAAGTTCCCCTGCTGCTGCTGGTGGCCAGAGCCCATTTCCAGGAGGAGCAGCCAGGAGATGTGCTGAGCTGGGAGTCAGACCTGCTGGAACCTGGGGGTTGAAAGCAAGAGTTGAGATGGTGCCCCAGCTGTGCTGTGCTTCTTTGGGAAAAGAGGCATTAAATTAAAGTTAGATTCCCTAATAGAACACAGGAACTGCGTGAAATTCATTGTAACACAACTTCAAAAGCATCACAGATGAAACATCTGTGGATCACAGGTTTATTTTTAATGACACAGCACTGGAAAACAGAAGTTACAGGTGACTTTTTGATACAGCATACATTATGTACCTAAAATCCTTAAAAGAATCTGTGAAGGTACGCTGCATAAATACTTGTTGTGAAAACATGTTTATTTCTCAGAGATTAACTTTGTCGTGTTTTTTTTTATTCAGCCAATTAAATAAAAAAGTATAGATGAGCATCATAACAGTTCCTCTTCCAGATTACCTTACTGTAACTACTGCAGCCGGAAGAGGAAACCGAGCCATGCCTTCTCAAAGGTTCAGCAGCTTTGAAAACGATACCATTCATCATCTCAGAATGAAAATCTCACATCACTAACATGGATACTGTGCAGTGCTTTGGCAATGGAGCAGCTGGTTCTGCTTTGGAATAAAACTGTTGTCTGTAATGCCAGACAGTGGGAGAGCAATGCATGCACTGATGGCACTGCACAGCCAAAGCACTGCATGACATTGCTGAGATGCACACATACCCACATGCACCTGCAGACACACGTCCAAGTTCCCGTGTAGATACACTGTGCGCGTCCAAAGGTAACACGGAAAAACGTTGCAGCAGTTAATTATATTTTTTAAACATGTGAAACTTGTAATAGTTTGACCTCATTACTACAGGATTACTAATTAAGTTTTCTGCAGTGCAACTCAATACGATGCACTGAGTGCAGACAAGTTCAGGTTTTGCTATCAAGGAGGCTAACTTTGGATTTCATGGGAAAGGACCAAACACAGGATCACCACAGCTCTGGCAAAGCACAAACAAACCTGTTGCCACATGCATGTGAACAAATGAGGACATTTCTGTTTGTATTTGATTTGTTTTCACACACTGCTTCAGAAATGGCTAGCCTAACTGCTTGCACTCATGCTGATTTTGATATGCTTCAACAAGCAACCAATCTGTAAACCACTAACAGCCTGAACTACAGAAAAAGTGGGCTCCTGTGTTTCAAGGAGGTGAAGAACCCACTGACTGAGCTTCAAACCACATCCGTATGCCTGTGAGAAGAACTGTTCCAGGTGGCGTGTGAAGTTCACTGGGAAAAGTCCTTTATAACCATTTGCATCTCTGTGCTGAAGCCACTCAGATTCCTTAATGCCTGTCAAGCAGCCTCCTGAAAGAGAAAAGACAGAGCATCTTCAGGGTCAGCTCTCTCCCATTCCTTTCTATATACTCCAGGCCCGGAGAAGTTTTAGAGTCATACGGCTAAAAGAAGTGGTGATTTGTTACACAGCATACTCTGATTTTGCACAGACTGTTTTCTCTGTTCTGCCATGGTTTTGTGAGACTGTGAGCACATTAGATGGCCTTTATCCCACCTAACCTCCAACTGAACTGAACATTGCATGATCAGCCTCTGGAGTCATCCAGTGTTACAGCAAATCTGCATTTGTGCAAATGCACGTGGAGATGTTTTCAAAGCTCTTACAGCAATATTGGGATACTTACACAGTAAGAGCACAGCACTGTGCTAGAATCATTATAGAATGCCACAGATGAGGGGGAAAAAATCCATGTTTTCATCTGATTATTTTTTTCTGAGTGTTCTTTTCTCTCATTCCTGTATTGACAGAAGAAATAACAGTTCTTGTTTTCTCTGCCATCATAATTGCTAGAAACTAAAAGTCAGTTGATACTCAACAACCTTTTCCAAAAATTCCTGGAAGCTTCAGCCTGAGCCAGATCTTGACATGCAATAATGCAATCCAAATCCATCAATCAAAAGGAAGATTTCTTGTTGGAAAGTGCTGGGTTCTCCTAAGTGCTATCCATTTCACCTGGAATAAAACCCATGCAGTATTTTTGCAGTGATCAGCCTATTTTCATCTCACCACACGGCTAACTCTGTGCTTTGTTCCTTTTAAGAACAGGAGTCAGAGAAAAGTGATGATTAACAGGGAATTTCTAATTTCTAATTTCTAATGCTGATTCATTATTATTCTACAGACAGTACAAAGAGAGATGGAGTAACTGGCAGCACGTTTTTGAAGCTCACCTTTTGGAAAACCTGAGGTGGGGGAAATGAAGTTTTCTACCATGGACAGAGTAGATTCTGCTCAGGACTGAAGTTGTAATGGATGATGACTTCAACTCAATAATTATGGATAAAAGTTGGAGTCACTGGCTGGGATTAGTTGGCTTTGCACAGGGAGCACAGGCTGACAGCACCAGCTATCTCAGAATGATGGTTTTAGATCAATTTTGCAGGAGAAAAAAGAACCAAGATCAAATACTCTGTAAATCAGCAAATTATCTGGTAAGAGAAAAATTGAGTTCTACGGTGATGTGAAACACGAAGGGCAAATATGCACTGAGTAATAAAGATATGAGCAGAATGATCTCAGCAACATGAATACATGGGGCTTCATTTTCTCCATCACTGCACACGATTCACTCCACTGAACGCTAATTGGATTTGGATGCACACCACAAGAGAAAAATAATCAATGGATTCACCAAGGGAAGGTTATATAGATTTAATACAAAACATTATAAGAAAAAATAACTGAAGACAGCCTATTTTTATATCCTTAGAGTAGGTTCTGCAAATACTGACAATGAAATCAGCTGAACAGCCCAAGAGGTGAGGCAGCACAGTTTGAGTAAGCATAAGAGGATCTGTCCCTACAAAATGACAAAGTGTCCCAGTGAAAAGGAAAGTAAAAATAATTTTTATTCAGAAGCAATAATAAAAAAGAATCAAAACCCAAAGCAATTACTTGTCTCTTGCATTAAGAGAGAGTTCAGCTTAGATAATGAACAGTCTCTGGCTCTCCAAACACGCGCTGACAGCATTTGGGCATGTTTTAAGAACTGCTCTTCATTCGGAGCAGAGACCTGGCTGTCTCACTGTGCAGGTCCAGAGCCCAACCTCCCAGCCCCCAGTTCAATGGAATGCTTTTCATCAACGCTTTCTGCCACTGCAGCCATGAAGTGGCTTGTACAAATTGTGCAAGATAGGCTGCTCTTAAAGAGGATGTAAAAAATTAATTAACTTGACTGCAAATCAATATAATGTGTGGAATTAAATCGTTTAAAAATTAACCTGAAACACGCTGTTAAGACAAAATAAAACATCTTAAATGACACTGAACTGTTAGGCTCTTGCACCAAAGACAAAGCTCAAGAGCACAGCTGTGTGAGGCTCAGGTTCCAAGAGGCACACAGGACATGTAGGAACACCTCTGTGCCATTTGGCTGCAGGACAGAACTGTTGGTGTGCACTCTCAGTGCTCTCTCTGGGCAAATGCATATTTCCCCAGATCTCCATGTAAAACTCTGAACATGTGGGGAAATACAGTCAGCTCCGACCCAGTGTTACAACAACATGATAGCAGGATGCACAATTCGTAAGCCATCTTCTGTATTCAGCCTGTGTCTGTATGTAAGCCTGTATAAAATTCACTACAAAGTAACATAAAAGAGCCCTAGAAAAATGCACTGAAGTTGGATCCTGTTGGCAGTACATACCTGGGACTTTAGCTTAGTTAGCTGTGCTGCTTGGTCACAAATCAAACCAAGTAAAAGGGCAAAATAAGAATGTTGGTCTTTTCTAACAGTAAAGACGTTCTGAATCAACATTTCAAATTAACTATAAAGAGTGAGAAGGAAACTGAGACAAATGGAAACATTAGCAAAAGAAATAAATAATCATGTTGTTGTTACCTGATCAGCTGTGGTCTCAGAAGGAATTACTAGTGCAATATCCCCTCGTTTTAAATTAAGCTCATCACTGTTAGCTGCCTCAAAATCATGCAGAACTTCAACCTAAAGGAAACACCAAATATACAGAAATGATCAAAACAGAGACACTGTGAAAAAAGAAAAATGTACTCTTTCACTTCTTTCTTTATGGAAATATATGGCCATAGATACATAGTACATTCAAGTTGTTAATGTTCCCATCAAAGTTTCTAATCACACTTCATGAAACAGGTAGAGCTTCAGTAAATCTTCCTGAAACTACTGAAAGAAACCAAACCTCCTTTCCCAAGGTTGCAGAATCCCACAGGTGCTGCCTCTTGGACAAGTCCTGTTACATTATTCCTACCGTGCAAGGAACTTGCTTTCATTTCCCACTATCATAACTAGACCTGAGGAGAGGGATGGCAGGATTTTGCTAATAAGCTTGGAAAAGAATCACAGGAAATGTCACTTCATACCCTTACTTATGCTGTCTGCTGGATACTGTGATTGATGTAAACATCCCTGGAAATTAGAGTGAGAGGTACAGCACCAGTTTCAGTACAAGACAAAAGAAGTTAATAATGGGAACCACAGCTCCTGTTTGTCCTGGAAAGAACTCCCATTCACTGGCAGACAGGAATGCCAAAATCATCTCTCTGTCAAAGAGGTGATCATTAAAACGTTTGTGGGGTTAGCACACTGTCCTGAACAGACCATTGTAACTAAACAGCCCTTCCTCCTGAAGAGAGGCACTATCCTAGTTTTCTCAAAGCACAGACAGTTCCGTGGTAACTGCAATAATGAAACAATACAGCATCGAGAACCAGGTGGCAGTCGTGCATTCTGCTGCTTCTTACTTATGTTTGACTCAAGGAAGCGTGACAAAAAACAAAAGATGAACAACAGATGAGCAGGTCTGCACCAAAACTGCACAATACCAGTCACTCTAACCTTAATATCATTCTCACTGTTTGCTCAAAATCTTGACCAGTAACCTTGGATCAGAAAGAATGGCATATTTATGGAGTGCTATGGGACTAACTAGTCTGAAGTATGCAAATGATAGCAGGAAGCATATAAAGTTCATCTAGCCTCAAGGAGCGTTTCTCCTGCTCACTGATTCTGAAGTGAAGGAACCTTGTGAACCAGGAATCTCTGTGGCTCTTACCAGCCAAGGAGAGGATTTCCCTGCAGCTTCATTAAGCTTTTCTGTCTGAATACCCTAACAGTTCGTAAGGACAGTAATACTAAGGACGTAAAAGGACACTTCTACTTCATTACAGTGAATTGTTGAAGTCCCACAGATTTCAATAGGGCTGGAACTTCCTCTACAGATTCTCAGGCCAGAAAAATGCCTTTTTGGTACTGTTTAGCAAATGATCGTGTGATATTACTGACTAAATCACTGGCAGTGGAATTTTACTTAAAAGATTCACTGTCAGTACTGACTTGGCGAGATGAAAGGAGACCTCTAATGATTCTTACAGCTACAGAGGGATATAACCAACAAAATCCAAGTGCAGAAAATATGTTTCTCAAAATTCATGTATGGAGAAGAAACACAACCAAAGGTTGGGTGAGTGCACACGCATGCAAGCATGTGGCTGTGAAACCAGGCGTCCTTTGGCCTCAGTAAACCATCGTAATGCCTCAATTGTCAGACACGTCCACAGAAGCTAGATGTGAAAAGATGTCTAAAAGAACAGCAAACAAGCAGACCTTAAAGAGAAAGCCCAGTGGCATGTCAGAAGCTGTGCCTCCTGCTGACGCAGGCTGATCTTGAGAAGGTGCAGTCTGGATTTCTTCAGTTGGTTTCTGCTCACTTCCAACTTGGCAAGTTTCACTGTCAGTGCCTGAGTGCCCATCTCTGCGATGACATCATGTTCTTCTCCTTACCCTTCATTGTTTGATGCTGGCTCCACTACTACTGAAGGGATGCTGCTGACCTTTTCCTAGGAAAAGAAATAAAATACAACAAAAGCACCACAAGAGTATTTCCCACTTTATTTCAAGTTGAAAAACATGTTTCTTTACTTCTGCTGCAGGTGGGATTCTTACCTCAAGACAGAGAACAATAATTGCGCAGAAAAGTCAAAGTTCTAAGAGCTTAGAGGAACACAAGGTGAAAAGCAGAAGTGACCTGGACCTTTCTCAGGGCTGTCCCAGTGTCCGGTGTGAAATCCATCACACACCAGAGCACCTTCAGGACTGAGGGAGGTTGTTGCCAAGAGCCATGGGACACATTACTGTACAAGACTTACTATGGGATGTTTAAGGGAGAAACCAAAAGCAGTGGGTGGATTGGGGTGACTTGGGGAGGAACAAGTGTGGGACAACAAAGCCACAGATAACAGCATAAATGGGCTGCTTGCATGTAAGCAGTGGATAGTTCAGATGTTATCTGGCCATGTGCTGCACCTGATGAGTGTGGTCTGTCCTATCTTCTCACTAAGTTGCTTGCTAACTCCTCTCCAGGGTGAGGGCTGTCTGTTGTTCTTGCCCGTGTGTGCACTAGGCTCAGACCGTGGATTGGAGGGCCTGTGTGCCCATCTGCCAGCTACAGGAGAGATCCAGGTGCCAGCCACTGGAGACACTCAGGTGAGTGGACTTGAGTGCTGTCAGCATGTACATATGAATATATGTATTCTCACTAGTAGATCTCTACCTGCTCAGCCAGAGGTGAACGTGATGAGGCCTCTGGTAATGCTTGTGTTTGTGTGAGTACCCCGTGTACCTGTCTTTGATTCCCATGGCTGTCTGTGTGTGTACAAATATGTCTGTGTGTGCTCTGTGTGTGCACTGACTGAGAATACATGCTCATCCTCACTGCTTGTTGGACCCTGGGGCATGGAGCTGCATCAGCCTTGCCTGTGCTGGAGCTGTTGGATCTGGCTGGATTCCTCTAATGCTCCCCACACAACAACATGAGGTACCTGAGAAATATCAATCTCCTTTTCTTCTCCCTGAGGTTTTTCACCTCCAGCAGCAGCCTCCTGTTCCATGGGAGCAGCACCCTCACCAGCTCCTGCTGCCACCACCACACTGTCTTCCACTCCACCACCCCATCTGCAGCACCCACCACCAGGACATGAGCTGTGGATATCAGCTGGAGATATCCTGTACTCTGTGATCTTCTTAGGTGCTGCCGGCCCCTGGCTTTGGTTTCACTGGGGTTTCTCCTGATCCAAGGTGGAAAGCAGCACTGGAGGCTGCCATGCTATACCTGAAGCACCATGTAGGAGCACAGGGGTAGGCTTGCACGACAAAGCTGATTTACAGGCAGGAGAGGGACATTTACAAAACCTTCCTGTCAACATGCAGTAGAGATTCAGATGGGTATTGCTAGTGTAGGAAAAATTTCTCAAGGCTCATGTGTTCTCATTGCCTCTTCTTTCTCACACCTATACAACGTGGCCTCCTTCCACTGCTCTCTGGAACAGTTATGGGACTGCATTCTCAGGGCTGATTTGCCTCCAAGCTGTGTGGTGTGAGAAATTCCCTGCAGGTTCAAGGTGAGTTGAAGCTTGGCAAACTGTCCAGAGGTCCCCTGTGCTACTGAAAGTCTGCTCTAGGTAACAGGCTGCAAGTCTGCTCCAGCTGCTGTCTGCCATCTCTAGACCTGGACTGCCTTCAAGAGCATTAGTTAGACTCCTTTTGAACAGAGATGTGCAACTTGGGCTATGTTAGCTGAAGCAAATATACTCTACAGCTAGATAAAGGGTAGAAATATTCAGATGTCATCAGGTATCAGAAAATGTTAGCCTATAGCTAGGCTCATTTTAAAGAAGAAAGAAACATAAATAAAGACCCAAGTTGATTTGATATGACTGAATCATTTGTCATTAGTTTGTGTTGAAAAGTCAGTATGCAGTTTATTTCAGTAATTGGAAGGTGGATAGAAAAGTACCTTCCTGAAGGCCATTGCTAAATCCTTCCTCCAGCAGAGGTAATTTATGTATCACCCCAACATTTGTGTTGGTACACACTGGTATTTGTTTACAGTTATATACTTGAATTAAGTTTGCTGTAGATTCATCTTGAGGCTTGATGATGAAGGTAAATAAAAAAATACATTCTGTCAATTCAATTGGCTTCAGGACGTTTTTAACACTAAAGAAAAGCTGTTTTCTAGGTACCAGCATCAAGCTAAGTTCAGCAGAAATTCAATTCACAGCCTGATGCTCTGTTTCCTCAGTTTGATTTTCCACCCATGAATGAGACTAATGCAGCTCTCTGAGCTCAACTTGAACTGCCTGCATTTGTTCACCATCATTCTTCAGTCACTGTTGTTCAGCTCTATCTACCCCTAGTGGCTGACATTAACTGATGTGGTAAATAAATTCTTCTGCAGTCCTTGAAAGCAGGAAATACTCCAGTGTTTTACAGAAACCACTGGAGAAGTTTTAGCTTGAACTGAAAATTCTGCTAGGGAAGGATGCTCTGCCACAAACAGAAGTATTATCAAAAGATATGGACAGATGTTGACATCTTCTCCTGTCACTTGTAAGGCACGCAAACCTGTCTCACAGAGTATTACCAATTTAGCAATCTTGACCCAGGCTAGTACTCAAATAAATGGTGGTTGTAAAAGCCTTGGAAGAGACCAGTATGAAAGGAGGGGAACAGAATGCCTATCAGATTGATTTCATCACATGTGCTTCTAACAGCATGCTGCAGACATTGATCTTGCTGCCTGTTGTGATTAGGATCAACATTTATTTTCTATTTACTGGATTTGTATAGCCAATTTTCTTTTACGGTGGAGGAGAATTTTAATTGACATGAGTCAGCTCTCAAATAGTCAGCACTGAAAGGGTGATGCTCTCAACAGCTGTAGCTGTAACTCACTGAATGCACAGCACATTCACATATGCAGAACTGGGTATTTCCCGTGCCTTACAATACAGAACCAGAGCAAGAAAGATAATTAAAAAATGGCTTTTACAAAAGCATGTGTGCTAGTGCTGAATGAATCTCACTATTAGTATCAAATGTCTTTGATAAAGAAAAAAACCCACAAAACTAAACTAAACTAAAAAGAGGGAGACTCAGTTCCACTGAAATCAGAACAAGAATCCCACACCTAGCTGCAATGGGCTAAGTACTTGCAGGTATTTCCTGTCTTCGTTTTGAGAACCAACTCTACAAACCTGTTTTCCATAACAATACACAGACTAAGAGTATCCTAAACCAGCTATCTGCAGAAGTGTTACTGAAATCTGCACAGCCACGCAGGAGAAAAAACAAGGGCCATCCAATGTAATGAAGGCTGTGATAACAGTCACGTGGCTTTGAGTTGCAGTAAAAGTGAATGCTTCTTTACCCAGGCTGCAGCTGGCTGCATTATCCTCTAATATAACTGTCAGCTCAGTGCAGTGCCCAGACTCAGCAGCAGCAAGAATGAGGCCATGAAGAGGAGGAGAGCAGCCCAGTCTGCAGCTGGGGTCTGGGAGGAGCTCACTGAGCTCTCCCCATTTTCCAGAGCTGAAGATCTTGCTCCACAGCTTGATTTAGAAAAGGACTGGGTAATTTTTAGGACAGTTAGTTATAATTACAGCTCAGCCGTCTAATATAAGATCAAGTACTAATTATCATGCTTTAGTGAGCACACCAATTGCTTGCAGAGTCTTGGAAGGCTTTTGGAGTAATACTGAAGAATTGGTTATGAAAGTTGCCTCAGAAGGACAGTCCTCCACTGGAGCCAGGATATCAGCTTAGCAAACAGCTTGATCCCTGACAGCATCTCTTCTGCATTCAGTAATACTGCTCCTCTAAGCAGGTTAAACTGACCAGATAAAAGTTACTCTACAAGGGCACCTAGTTTGGAACAGAGGAAAGATGCATTTCAAAGGCTTAGCCTTTGTGCTCAGGGCAGAGCAAGGCATTTCTTGGCCCAGACTTGGCAGTGATAAGACAATGCTAGAGAAGCAGTGCAACTCACATTTGCAGCGCATCAGCACCAGTAGCTATAGAAACTGGGTTTGAGCTACCTCTCCCATCCTGTAAATTCTTTTTAGTGTAATTCCCCTGGCTTCTACACAGCAGGCTGGTGAGGAGTATGGCACCAGTGAGGCAGGGCACAGGAAGAAAGCAGCCCATGGCAGTGGGACCTCATCCTGGCTCAGCCATACTGCCCAGCACGGACATCTGCTGGCTGCATAGCTGGCTTCCCTGCAACACGGGGCACCCCGGGTAGCCACAGAGCATGGACATATCCCAGACTGCAGAAGGGCTGATGCCTGCTCACATCAGTGTAACAAACTCAAGCTTGGACAGCTGAGCCTACCATGAAACCAAAACAAGTAGGAAACAGTTTACAATCTGCTTGTATATGTTGTGGCACTAAGGCAAATAACATAATCAAACAGTTCATTAGCTCAGAGATACAGATTCTAAGCAATTACCAATGAGGAGTAACAATTTCTTTCTCATTCCCTACCTCTCTTCCTGCATTTAATAGGTAGCTCTTCTTCCTCTGCTGCTCTCCATGCACGCTCAAAAATACTACAGTTTCAATTCTGTACAAAAGGATTGAGAGTGTCTTGCTTTATATAAGCAAAATACAACCATACCACCCTTAGATTTCAACATGCCCACCTAAAGAGAAATTAAGTATGTCCCTGAGTTTTTCAGTTGCTTTGTAATTTACCTAATTCAGTGCCAGATTTGTATTTTAGAAAATGAACTTGTGGCATGATCATTTTCAGCTGTGCAAGGAAAAACAAATGATGAATCAAAATTCCTTTTCCTTTTTAAAGATGTTTAGAGGAAGGCTCAACAAACAAATTCAAGGAAAATGTAAAAGCTACTGTGAATCTATGCAGCATATTCTCTCTTTACCACAAATGTCAGTAGAAACAGCATTATACCACTTTCTGATCATGGATCTGTATGTTTTCTGTCCCAAAATATTTATCAGTCAGTACTGCTGCAACAGGCAGTTTCTAAGTAGGTCTTGCATTGAATGAGAAATGTTCTGGTACCACAGCTGGGTCACAGTCATATTGTATTGTCTGCACACTGATTACATGCAGATGACATATTTATATTTTTGCCACGCTCCTCTTGAAGATATTAAAGCACAACCACATTCCTGAGGCTGCTCATACGTACCTCGCTCTCTTTCTCAGCAGTTCCAGTTGTCTCCTTATCTCTGCCTCGATACTCTCCTGTATAAAGAGGAAATATGGTCATCAGCTTACTCATGCTGAGGGAATGACTGCAGAGAAACTGGCATTAATTAAGCTCAGTGGAAGAATGGCATGTATGGGATGTGATGAAATGAATGGTGGGAACTAAATGGGACAGCATACAGGGAGTGGAAAGATTCTTGCTGCTATATATCTGAAATAAAGGTAGCTATAAGACAAAAACAGAACAAAACAAGAACACAGCAAAAAACCATATAAAGAAATAAAGCCCGTTAATTACATAATGATCACCACACTGGAAGTGCTAGTGTCAATTTTATGTACTTCTGCTGTCACTATTGTCATAATAGCACCATACTGGATGAATGCTTTTGTTAAGCAACAGCCCAGAACACTGCTGACCTTACAGTGTTCCAGCTACCTCAAATTTCTCCCACCCAAGACTCCGAATGTTCCCATCATAACCTGCTGCTGCCCCTGCAACTCACCAGTTTGCAGGAAAACTTTCTGGAACACTTCTTCCACACGCGTTGGGCTGAAACACACATAAGGGGATTGTTCAAAGAGGTGGGTCACAAAGCTCATCAGTTTGTGCAGAATCACTTTCCTCCAGGTCCACACTCAGCTGTACATGCAGTGGGTGCCTGACATTTAAAACAGCAGACATGTGTCAGTGGCTCTAAATCTGACACCCGTGAAGATGTTCAAGGGATCAATTGCTCTGAACAGTGATGCTCTCCACCCCAAACAATACTTCTTACAGCACAGATGGGATCTAACACAAGGTCCTTTCCTACAGAAGCTGTAAAACTGCACGAGTTCCAGGTTTTGGAAGAGAAAAAAATGTACAATTTCCTAAACTCTGTGGGACAGTTGCGCCCCTGCTGGCTTCCAATTCTACTGTAGCATTTTGGGATTCAGCAACATCCCTTCTGCTTGAGCTTGGATTCAGTTCTGGCTATTGCTCAGCCTGGATCAAGAGGTTCAGGTCAACAAACAGTCAAAATGGCTGTAATTCATGTCTCAGAATCACAAGGGTGGAAACGACCTGCAAGATCATCTAGTCCAACCACCCTCCCATTCCTATTAGTACCACAAGCTACTAAACCATATCTCGTAGCTCCTCATCCAGGCACCTCTTGAACACTACCAGGGATGGCGTCTCCACCACCTCCCTGGGCAGCCATTCCACTGCCTGACCACCCTCTGAGAGAAAAAGTTTCTCCTAATGTCCAACCTAAACCTCCTCTGGTACAACTTCTGGCTGTTTCCTCGGATCCTACTATTTGCCTGGGAGAAGAGGCCAGACCCTTTTGCACCAAAACCTCCCTTCAGGAAGTTGTACAGTGCAGTGAGGTCTGCCCTGAGCCTCCTCTTCTCCACACTGAACAATCCCAGCTCCCTCAGCTGCTCCTCATAAGACTTGTGCTCCAGAACCCTCACCAGTTTTGTTGCCCTTCTCTGGACACGTTCCAGGGCCTCAACGTCTTTCTTGTAGTGAGGGGCCCAAAACTGAACACAATACTCGAGGTGCGACCTCATCAGTGCAGAGTACAGGGGTCTCGTTTGGAAGACTTGGAAGTGCTTTTCTCTTCTGCTCAGTCTTGGCTTCCTGCAGATTGCAGGATATTTCTAAAGATGCTTTTCAGAGGAAAAGTAAATCTAAGCCCCCTTATAGAAATCTCTTTCACTAATAAATGTTGAGGCTGCTTTGCAAACATACATATGTCAGATTTTTCAAAAGCCCTGTAAGGGTGAAGACAAGTCATGCAGATCTGTGTGAGTGCAGGTAGAGCAGATCACCATCTTTAGCACTTGTGATCAGACCTCAGTGCTCAGCCTCCAGCTCACTGCCTCCACACACCTGCCACACCAAAATTCCGGCAAATTTCATCTGAAATGCCTGCATGTTATCTTGTTTAATAAAAGGATGCTGCGTTATATCCAAACTTCACTTCACTCGTGTGTTTTCTAAGCTCATCTTCCTGCAGTCACCTCATAAGACCCAGACCTGTCCAGATGCCAGGGCAAGGCAGCTGCTGACAGCAGTGTTACCATGCAAACCCCTCACAGCTTTATCCTGCTAAAACTGCAGTGTGACATCACCTTTTCTTTTATACATACAGGATTAATTCTTCTTTCAAGCTGCCAAGCCATGCTGGGAAGACCTGATTTTTACATTAATTTTAAAACAGACTGTAGAGGGTTTTAAAAAGAAAAAAATCCCACAAGCTTCAACTGCAAAATATAATTATTTCTTACTCTAGCAAAGCATGCATGCTTGCTACAGCATGTTGCTCTTTTTTTTTTTTTAACAGGAGAGGTAAACAAATATTTCTATTGCCTCATAAAAGCCATGCGTCTGATGGCAATGGCAAGTTGGTACAGAAACACTTTTCTGACTTGTACTATTAAAAAGTGCTGAATTTCTTAACAAGCTGTGTTTATAAGTCAATTTGCCTTCAGAAATGAGCACTGCTCTATGTTAGGAATGTGTTTGTCCCTACCCTTCTCTTTTCAGTAACATGGAAACTCTTTCCCATAAGAATTCCATCAACCAAGCTTACAGCTTGGGCCTCATTCCAAAATTTGATGCATTCATACATATACTTTTAAATGAGGGCTCGTTTCAGGCTTAACTGGAAGCAGATTTTTTGGGAAAGAGAAAGGTAAGGAGGGGTGCCCTTACTTCTTAAGGACTATTTTGTACTGGTAAAGTTAGCAGCACTGATCTTTTGATTAGTTAGGAGCTGGGATGGTAAGGATAACTGAGTTTTAGCAGGGAAGCACGGCAGTGCAATGTTTATTTTTATGCCACGCTAGGCATAAACATCTAGTAAATAGGATTACTGAAACAATGCCTAAGTAATGCTGCAGTTCCATAAACAGAGTGCAATCTGCCTCTGCTGACTTAGAACAGAACAATGCTGTTCTACATCAGTTCACCCCCATTTTTGAAAGAAATATTTTACCTTTAAATGGCCTCATACTCCAGTGCTGTACCTGTACTTGGCTCCATGCTCAGCTTTCAGACACAGCTGACCACTCTTCTTTGCACTGCTCTCCCAGATCATACAGTCTGCAGTTTGGGTGCCACGAGTTGTACCTACGGTGGGATTCAGCCATCATTAGACATCTCTAAGCTGAAGGCTCTTTCTTGGCCTCTGTCACTGTTCAGTGTCTGAGAGAGCTTCCAGCTGGCAGTTTCGTATGTGCCCACACAAAGCTTTGAAAATCACTGTGTTTAGCTGAGTGTCTGACTGATGGAATGAGAGAATATTAAAGTCCAGGCAAGCATCAGACCCAAAGCACAAAAAGGCTCTTTCCAAACCAAGGAGCATCTGGAAGTCAAAATAGCTGATCTCTGAGTAATGCTGTGAACTCTGGGTGCAGCATTTCACAGATAGGACAACAAAATAACAAGACTTGCTACGATTTCTCTTTGTTCTGTACACTTGTCATCTTTGCCTGACTTTGAAAAATTGATGTGGTGAGAGGGATATTATTATTTGAAACTGAAATCAATCAGTGGTTAATAAACAATATCTTTTAGACTGCATCCTTTGGATTTTACGTACTACGGGAAGAAGAAACAGAACAGTTTCTGTGGGCAAAAGTCCATGCAAGAAGGACTTCTTGCCATTCGCTTCAGCTCTTCTGCAGCACGTGGTGATTCTGTCCCTTTAACTGTGAAAAATTTTGTTCCCTGAAACCAAAATAAGAATCAATGGTTGCCAGCACCTAACAGAAATTTATTTATTCTGTGGCACCGATGGATCACAACAAGGACATGTAATAAGATTCCATGCAGCAATTAAGATGAGCTCTTGGAATTAAGTGTTTGGCAATGCAGGGTCAGGCTGATTATGAAACTGTAAGTAACAGAACCCAAAACTCCTGAGCAGGGAATTGTACCCTGTTCTCTGCACTACCCCTCCTAGTTTAAATGAGAGCCCTACCAGAAAACTTACTCAAAGCTCCTGCAACAACTAATGACTGCCATACATTCTACCAATTAACGTGGCTTGACAGTAAATTCATCACAGAGAAATTGTGCTGATTAGGGGCTGTCACCACAAACTTGAGATTACTAAAATCAATAGAAGATTCCTATCAGAAAGATATTATTAATATTTTTCCACTCCACTTTTAACTCGTCTTAAGTCTTAAGTAACTCATTTTAAGTCACTCACAAAGTGAATGAACGCTGAACTGCTGCTGAGAAATGACATGATTTCATATTCTGCATCTCAGTGAAATGTCCTTAGCTTTGATCACGGCTGTTGTTAATCCTGATGTTCAAGACTCTCCTTTGCAAGTCCTGGAAAGCAATTCCTGGAATCATTGCCCCTCAGAGCCAAATGAATAATTCTACTTCTGAATTTTTAAGAAATCAACACGGAGCTCATTTTCCTAGACATCTCTTCCAAATTGGTAAAGACAACTTTGTATTCTAAAGGTAACAGAAAATGAAAATAAACCCAGTCAGAACTGTCTGACTTCTATTTAATGCCTATGACTTCCTCCTGGATTGCCACTCACTTGCCCATCTCTCACTGTCTTCCTCTCCAAAAGCTCTGCAGCCATTTGGAGCATGAAAGAACATGGACTGAGAATGCCTCAGTGATGGTGAGGCAGCGAAACAGGTCATAGGACAGGGCCAGTGAATGGATGAGTGGTGCTGCACCCCAGCCTGCCATCTAATTAGCACTCAGACAACGAAGATTTTGGAGCTTTGTCTTCGTACAAGAAAAGGAGTTGGCTTCCTTTTAGAAAAAAATATTTCCGTCACAATTTTTCTTTCCTGCCTGAAATCCTTACAGAAAAAATAAACTCAAACCATACAGAAACAACCTTTTAAGCTTCTCTGATATCTGTTCTTCACTTTACTTACTGCCACTCAGTAGAGTGAGTACCAGAAGAGACCTCCTGACCAATGACTGATGTCTCATCCTTCCTCTACTCACCATCCTTTCTTTCTTCTTTATTCCAAACCATCAAATTTACTCTGCCTAGCCATGGAGGATTTTTGACAACAGTCTGTTGGAACAACATGCTTCAGATAGGCAGTTTCATTGTTTGCTTTGCTATAGAGTGGACAAGTTATTACAGTGATTTAGATCAACTCAAAAGAAAACATGCATGGGGAAAAGCCTGATCTCTGCAGACCATGGGGCCTTTCTTTGTGTCTGTTATTATAAGAAGATGATGCTGAGGTCACTCGCTCTAGGGTTTACTATAGACATGAACAAGGAGTAAATTAAAATTAAACACACTCAATATTCATGATTTAATTAGAATCAAGTCCAATTCATAATTCTAGGGAACACATTGGCATTGCTTTCCTCTACTGTTACGATGCTGCTCTCACAGGTAGGAATCCAGAGCAAATAGGAAGCATTAGACAAGGACAGGGATCATCCTCCCTCTCTCAGCGTTGTGGTGAGGCCTATCCACCTTTCGGACATTCTCTCTCTCTCATTATATTTGATTTATTAGCTTCAATTCTGATTATATTGTATTATAGTGTGTTATCTTGCATTCCGATAATATACTTAGTAAATTAGTTTGTTTCTCCTCAGATCGGTGCCGCTGTTTTTAATTATTTTGGGGTCTCCTGTTTCCTTTTTTTGGGAGGCGCGGATCTGTGGATCCCTCCGCCCCGCTCATCACGGAACCGGGCCGAACCAGCCCTTAAACCGTTGACATTTCTTTTAATGTTTATTGCATCCTGAGATCTCAATCACCTACAAAGCTTCCGTTTATTGGCCATGCTTCTTCTGCAATTCTTACCCTCTAAAATTCTGGCCTATGCTTATTCTTTAGGAAGTGCATCTGGTAAACATCACCAGTCCTGCACGATGTTTGGTCCTGCAGCAAAACAGCTCCCAGCAAAAGTGCTGTTTCTGCTGGGGACAAAGCCTTGCAAACACACACAGCTAAAGGAGAGAGCTGCAAGCTGTGCTCAGCATATTCCAGCTATAAAGATGGCTGACTCAGCCAGATAAAATAACCCCAGTAGATCAATTTGCCATGAACACATTGCTCAGCATAATATGAACCTCAAAAGCTATCCAGCTGCTTTGCAGTTGATAAGATACAGCTGGTCAGAAGGCCTTCTGTAATGAAGAGACATCTCTGAAATTCTTCAAAATACGAAAATCTGCTCCCTGACATTTTTCAGAAAACAACAACAAAACAAAACCAAACAGAAAAACCCACCACCACACCAAAACATATCCTTTCAATTCTTTTCTCATCTATTCCTTTAGCAGGCTTATTTTTAATGAGGTATAGAGAAATCTGCCTAAGCACCACCTTCTGGATTTGGCAAAGAATAAAGAAACATTCATTATATTATACCACACTGTGCAGAAGTCTGTCTTGTGTGATAATACCAGATCCAAGGACTTTCACAAAGAAAAAACATGACTGCAATGAGAAACAAAAGGCAGATTTGTCCCAGGTCAGATGGCTAATGAATTTCCTGGGCCTTAATACTGGAAGGAACTTTCAGGCTTAAAATCAGAGGTAATGTGTTACAATGCAGATTGCACTGATGTGCTGAGTCACTTGTGCACAAGCAGTCTTTAGGCTACTTGCCATCTGAACTACAAACACAAATACTCAGAATGCTCTCACGGTGCTCAGTGACCAAAGTCACATCAACAAACAGAATCACTCTTCTGCTCTCAGTAACGGCAGCGTTCACCCAGCAATGCTGCCACTCCATATCCTTCATTCAGGCTAACTGGATTCAGCAAGAGGAGCCCAGAAACCACCAAAGTATGATCACTATCAACAATATTCCCCCCCTTAAAAGATGCTACCTACTAAAATGAGGAAGACAGATAAAGCTGCAGTAATATGAGAGGTATGTGTACCGACAGCACACGTGAGCACTTCTTGCTGTACACTGGACCAAAGCACTCATTCTTGCTGTTTCTTAAGTGCAATAAATAAGTAAACTGACTGTACCTTCAAAAATTAAAAGTATCTAGGCATCCTACTTTTCCTTTTTTGCAGTGCTATCCTAGTGAAAGACTTTCCGGAAGTACAGATTTACAGCTGCAATGGTATACCCACCTATTCTTTCAGGTCAAGATTTAATGAATTAGAGGATGGAAAACACCCATGTTTTTGTACAAAGGAGCAAATATTTTTCTACAAAGCAAAAAACAGTACCCTTTTTTTTACACACCATTTAGAAAAGAAGCAAAATCCACCACTTACAGAGTCTCTGTCACATTCTCATTTGATTGCACTGTAAATGCAGCGGCATCCTACCTATAGAAAATAAAAACAACGCAGCAACAATATTTGGCATGGGATGTATCCAGTAAAGACCTGATTTTTTATGGCTTACTCAGGCATAACCATCAATAGCTGAGCTTGGATGGAAAATCGATAATCTAAATAAGTATGAATATCAATATTAAAGACCTTCCTTTTTCAAAAGTGTTCCATGACTCTAAAATGTTTCAAGTTATTCAAACAGGTAAGTGAATTGCAAGGACTTTGCTTCAGGCACACTGCACTTCTGAACAGCGAATGCCAGAAGTTTATTTTGCCAGACTGCACTGCACAGGGAGTGCAGAGCTCGGAGTTCCTTACACATCCTCTGGACTCTGGGCTTTTATTTGCACAGCACACACTGCTAAGGAATTAGAGATGTGAAGCTTCGCATGCATTAATTAGAGAAAGTGGTGGCAGCTTTGTATTTTAGCCCTTCCTTCTGAATACTTTGCTAATGTAAAAGGCCTAGAGCAAAATTAATAAGCACTGAAAGACTCGTTTTCAGCCTTGCAGATGCCCAGCTTTTTTGTGTGCATATCTAAACAGTGGTGTGCAGAGCATGCTGTGGGTAAGCCAGCCTCTGAAAGGTGCTGGAATTTAAGAAGGCCCCAGATTATCTGCATTATCACTTGGGACTGGGGCCCTGGGGTTTGAGAGCATAAGCGTGCACTGCACTGCTGCAGTGCCTCATGCAGATCCTCAGCATTATCACAGCAGTAAATAAACAACTCAGATTTAACTCCCAGACTAAAACATATGTTAGGTGAAAACAACATTGCAGAAACAAATAAAACTCATTTCATGTATAAATGCATAAATACATAGAGTCACTGAACAGGTGTGAAAGCTGTGAGGAAGCTGTGCTTCACAGGATTTTGAGATTGTTAGAAAAATCCAAAAAAGAGAGCAAGAAAAATACTAATCCAGTTCTTTCACATGGAAAATATGAAGACAGTCCTGCTAAGCTAGTGGGAGTTTTCCAATTAAATTCATCTAGGCCAAGAGTGCCAAGAATATTAGCAACCTTTTAGGAACATCCAGGAAGACTTTTTGAGGGCAGACAAGTTCAGGATTCGTGTCAGCAGGACATTATTGTGCAGCTGGTCTGCAGAGCAGAGTTTTCAAAACTGTGCAACCAGTCTTAATCTCCTCCCAACTAAACAGAAAAAAACTCTCAAAATTTGCTTGTTTCTAACCTGTGCAAATCCATTAAGTACTGTGCTGGATGCCCAAGTAGAAGTGAAGATCAGAACAAGTCATCATTTGTTTACTAAACGAGAACATGGATAAAACATTTCTATTTGCAAAATAAAAATAGGCCAGACATAAAACAAAGGAAATAACAAAAGGAAGGGCAAGGCAGAAAAATACTTGATGAAAGTGCTATTCGATAACAGATTTCACAGGCTTAAAGAGAACACCAAAATGAATGAAAAAAGCGCAGTGACTTCAGTATTTTTATAAAAAGAAAAAAGAAAAGACTGGAGATGCATTTTAAATTATAAAGTACAAAAGCTGTGAGACACCGTGTGCCTTCACAGTGTGAAGCTTCATTCACCTTCCTGAAATGCATTTCTGCCAGCCTGCTTCATTACACGGCTGAAGGGCACCACACTATGAACAGCTGCGTGACAATTTTCCAAGAAAGAATTGCAAGGGCTTAGGAGGGGTAGCAGGAAACACACAGATGGATTGGTTTTAAACGACAAGGTTATGCTTGACCTAAGGAACTCTTTGTTTAGACTGGGCTACACACTGAGGTAGGTACCTCTTCTTTATCAGCCTCCATTTCCTGGTACAACAACTGTATGGGAACTGCTGAGTCACGGCCTGAACCTCTGATTAATCACCTGAGGTGAGCCTTGAGTCAGCCAGAGGAGCACAGGTGAAGGCAATTCACCTGTGCTGCCGGAAGGGGTGGAGCCAGGCTGCACCCCTCCTGGACCTATTTAAGAGCTGGCTACCAGAGGGGAAGGATCTCTTCTGGAGATCCCCTCTTCTGGTATCTTCTAGTGAGCTCAACCCAAGGGTAAGCTCTTCTACTTATTCTCTTTTGTGATTCTTGTTTGCTTTTGCCTTACTCTTTTGATTGTATTGCAATTATAACATCTTGGTCATACAACAACCCATATCTCCGGTTAGCAATTTCATTTTCAGATAAATCTGAGCTGTTAGTCCTGGCAGTGCACTGCCAGCAGCTGATCTGGCCGTCCAGGATCCTGGCATTACAGATGCTTCATTGCCAAATGCAGCAAATGGGTGTTTTGGGGAAAAGCCAACTCATGGGTATTTCTGGCACATCCATATCGCAGCACCACAGGCCAGCAGCAGCGCAGACAGCAGCACAGCTGAGAACAGCACCATGGCTGCGACGTGGCACTTCTGCACAGATTTGTGAACAGCAGCCTCTGTGCTTTTCCTGCATTCATGCCTGGAAGAAACGAGACAATGTCCCACGGTCCCTTCACCTGCTACAAATGATCTCCCAGTGTGCTCCATGAACCCAAGAGATTTTCATTAGTGGTGCCTCTGTCTCTGTGCCCAAGCACCAGGGTTTCCACCTCTTGCTGGGTGGGGAGAGGCTGCACAGGCATTCCCCTCTGGGCCAAGGCTGTGCCCTGGGATATGGGCTTTGCCTGTGGGGAGCACTGCAGAGCAGAATCCCTCATGCTTTCCCCAGAGTGCGTGTCCCACAGGACACCCCCCAGGCTGGAGGTCGGGCTCCAGCCAGTGCAGGGCACAGCTGGAGCCAGCCCAGGGGGGAGAAACACTCCTGCAGGCTCCTACCACACAGGACCCTGCTCATCGCCCCCGGGTGACTTTGTTGCATAAGGGCAAAGCTCACAACTCTCTGGTAACTGCGAGTGGTGGGAGCTGAGAAGCGTCACAGATGTGTACCTCCTCTGAGCAACAGAGAGCAAGTCACAGAGCAAGTGCCTTCTCTGGCACACCGTTGGAACTGAGGTCAGCCATTTTCAGAGAGCCATCCCTGGCTTCTTTTACACGTGCTCTGTGCCCACACACTCAGGTTTGGCTGCTGACCAGGTGTGCAAGGGCAAGCAGCAAGAGCCTGCAGGCACACAGTGACTCTGGTGAGTGACGCTGGCTGAGCGCAGCACAGAAATTACCTGGCATGCCAGCTGTTGGTGCTGCCTGCGTTCCACTGTCCGAGACTGGCAGTGTGGGATGGCTGCCTTCCTGCAGTGCATCCTGCTCAGTTTCTTGGTCAGTTCCTTTAGAAAGAAAGCAGGACAGTAGGAATGGATGTGATGTGCTCTCATCAGGAACTGAGCTACTCCAATCCTGAGCTCAGGCAAAGTCTGCTGCTCCCAGCCCCCCACATCCACTGTCACCCCCTCCGTTGCCCAAGGACATTTGGGACCTCCCAGGAACCGGAGGGTGCTGGCCCTCTCATGCCTCCTCAGGAATCAGCTCCTGTGCGAGGCCCTCACACCCTGTGCTGTGAGCATCACCAACCACCACAGCCAGCTATCTGCAGGCTGACATTAAAGCTCCAGCACAAGCACCTTCAGAATCAGCATCTCCAGCCCATGGCTTTCACCACCTGGCACATCTCCAAGGCAGTTTCTCCCTCTGGGGAAGTCAGCAGTGCCCCCAAAGAGTTTGCTGTCTCGTTACGTCTCTGCCCACTGCTTCTTCTGGAGGGAAGCCCCGAGGAAAAGCTTTGCCGTAGAGCCCCATAAGACAACTCTGCTGCTCTTCATGGCCAAGCAGCTGGGAGCAATTGCTCCACGTGTCCTGACTTGGGTTCACCCTCCTTTGTGCTCCAATCCTGCCAGAGCTGAAGTTGGGGGGAAGGGGCTCCCACCTTCAGCCTCGGCATGTTCTTTTCTGCACGGCCTGCCGCTGTCATCTCTCTTCTTTGAGGGAGCGGATGAGGACAAAGGTGAAACTCTCCTGGGGTTGTTTGTTTACAACGTGTATCTTTGTATCAGTAGGAGGAGCTCCGCAAAGCCCTCGGCCGTGTCAAATTGGAGGCACAGAGCAACTGGGGAAACACAGAACGCACCTGCGTGTACTGAGTGGAAATTCATGACAATTCGTAAAAGACAGCAGAGGTTTTTCGTAGGGAATAATGAGAATAAAAGGTCTGTCACTTTCTGCCCACGCTGAGGGCGGTTACTGGAGCGGTGCGTTGGGGCCGGGCGAGGGAGGAGCTGCGGGGCCGACTGGGGAGAGGTGCGTGGGGTTGGGTGACGTCATCACCCTGCGCCGCGAGGCCGAGGCGACCGTGAGGAAGTGGTGCGGGGCCATGAGCTGCTCCAACGCCGCAGGGCAGCTCTGGTTCAGCTTCTACAAGCTTTGTAGCTTTGGGGGGGGCACAGGGCGGGGCTGCTCTGCGTTGGCTCCGTGGGGCCTCTGTGGTGCTCAGGGCCTCTGCTCGGTGTGGGGAGGTGCGCTGTGTCGTCCCGCCCCCAGTCCAGGGCACATCGCTGCCTCATTCCTCTCCACGGTTCGGCCATAAACGCCCCCATCCCTCTTTCTGACCCCCAGGGTCACACTCTCTCCCTGATCTCCGTCAACAGACTTTAGAGCCCCCCCACTCCAGTTCTCCCATTCCTTTTCGCCCCCCACCCCCCCAGTTCTCCATTTTTACCTCCTGGGTCCCTTCCCCACCCTCACCTCATCCCTCCCCTCCTTATTCCCCCATTCTGATCCTCTCCCCCCCTCCCAATACCCCCCTCAGTTCCTCTTGCCTCAGATCAGATGTCCACAACATAGATACCTCCCTGTGAGGTACCTCACTACTGCTAATTAGTGAGCCACTAATGCTCACATGAGGAGATTAAGGATAGGAAGGAGCTGTGCAGATGCAAATATCTGGTGAAATGTAGGCTGTTACTCCCAGAGCTACTTTTGCACAGCTAAAATACAGAGCTCTTACTTTATGGAAAAAGTAAATCAGACCATGTAATGAAAGCCTGGAGCTGTACATCAATAATTAAAGGGCATCGTATGGGGAGGTATGGG